GGGGGGGGGGGGGAATGAGATAGATCGACTATGAACGCACGACTTTCCATGCGAAAATTGTACGCTTCAATATATATCTGTATGTAGGACCTTATTTCGTGTGGAGAGTATTCCTATAGGAATTCAGAATAATCCCGAGTTTTGAGATATAAAAATATAAAATTCAAAATGGCGGTCTCAATATGGCAGCCTCTCTCTGTAAAAAAGAATCTCAAAAGGTGAGAAGCAATGAGACTCACTGGGAAAAAATACCCCGAAATGTTAGAACTTTGTAACAAATTTTTTGCAAAAATTATAAATTTTAACGTATATGCCATATTGAAACCGTCATTTTGAATTTTATATCTTTAACATCATATTTAAAATCATCGATCCAAAAATCGGAAATTTGAATTCTGTGATGACAAGAATTCTTAAAATTTACTCATTTTGATAAAAAATAATAAAAATTTTGATGTATCTGGATATATTGGGTCAGCCATTTTGAATTTCATACTTTTGACATAAGATTTAGTTTCAGTGATCCCAAAAACCCCCTAATATATTTTACTTTTTAAAATTTCCAACTTATTTCACCTAATATGTTAAATCTTTATCTTTAAGGGGTAGTTTTCACCCTTCAGAATGGACCGTGGCCGATAAAAAAATACGTATCAAAGTTTTTCAAAGTTCTACAAATATGCAAAGTTTCATTAAAAATTGCGAGTGACACCTCCGTAAATTTACTTGTTAGAAGATCGAACATCTACTGTTAGACATAATTATTGTTTTTCACCATTCTGAGTCTTCGCTCAGCATTCGTCATTACACGTCATTTGCAAATCAATATAAATCTTTCTTTCGAAACTTTTAATCTTAATTTCATAAACTCAGTATTGTTTGTGCACGTCTCTGAGTGGTGCACTATCGTGTGGTACAAACTATAAAAGTTTTGTATTAAGAAACATGTATATCAGATGAGCTCTACGAGTTGAAAAAAATATAAGTTTGTAACTTTTTTCCGATTTTAATACAAAATATATTGCACCACGGCCAAATTTTGCGTCTACTTTAATCCTGTAAAAATATTTTTGATTCCGTTCAGTAAATTCGGAGATTTATATCGATCTGCGAAATAATACCGACAATTCGACTATTCCAGCATTCCCTTAACTGACATAATTTCGAAGTTCATTTCTGGGTCACAAATGACCCAACATGTATACATTTTTTGTAACTAAAAATTTTTTATTTATTTTTTTTATTTTCCATTAATTTTCGGTTGCGAGAATATTTCGCGAATTATAAAAAAAAAAATTTAATCCTAAAACAACTTAATAAACGCAATTTTTTTTATCCTATATATGTTCTACATATGTTAATATTATATATTATGTTTTCTGTAATGTTATAAAAAACATTTTACTAATAAATTATATGTAACAAAATTGTTTCAAAATGTAAATGCAATATATCTTCAATTTATAGCCATGCATGTTAAAAAAACATTATCAGATTATTCAATAACTAAACTTTTTGGACAATCGACACTTAAATTTTTTTTTGTAGTTTGGAATGTTAATTTTAAGATATTGAATCATTTTTTTTTAAACATTTTTGTTTCAGAGTTTTACATTTTTATATGAAACAGTGCATTTTTCTCATTTTGTTAATTATATTTACTTACAACAATTTATCTACAATTTGTTATGAATATATAAATGCATAAATACATTCTAAAGATATCAAAATATATGTAAAAATTGTTTAACAATATATATATATATATATACCTGTAAAAGTGATGAAAATTAAGTCAAGACACGAATGACTGAACGTGTTTATTAAGGGTGCCAAAAACAATGTGTGTACTAAGGGTTAACGTCAAGTAATGAAATAGAAGTTTGTTTTTCTTTTAAAAATAGTATCTGAAGGATTGTAACACTTTTACTGATTTATTCACATACTTTATCAATACCCGAATCGATACCATACGAACGATTTATGAACAATTCTGTCGATTTATTATTATTAATTATTATTATTAATTATTAAAGTACCGATTAATTATTCAACTCGAAATCACTTGGAATAAGAAACGCGTTACATACACAACTCGACGTAACCAGATGCAAGGATTGAACTCGATAACAACAATCAAGCAGGTTATACACATAACATTTACTCACACTTTTGATCGATACCCGAATTGATAACACAAGAATGATTAACAAACGATTTTATCGGTTTATTGTTATTACTTAGTATCGGTTAATTATTTATCTCGAAATAACTTGGAATAAAAAAAATAAATTACATACACGACCCGACGTGACCCTTCGAGACGACTGAGGGTGCGTTCTGTTTCACGCATGGTCCGCATGGAAGGGTGAAATCACACGGTACGGGAATCAGTATGCGGGACAGGATGCATAATTCGAACAGCCAATCAGCGCTCTTCCGCATTTTTCTGTACCTTTCCCGTATGCGTTTACGGCTATGATCGTGTGACCACTACAAATGCTTCGCATTTGTCTTCGATTGCAATCTACGTTACGTTATCTTGCCTAACCTATAAAGTTGAAATTGAAAGTGTTGAAATTAAATAAAAAAATTTGGATATGGAGATTAGGGAAGCTTCAATACGTCGTGATGTAAGTACAAGGAAAAAATAAATACGATTTTTTAAATGTTGAAATAAATAATAATAGAAATATCAATTTTTTTTTCAAGTATTAGTGCAAATATTGCAACTGTTTGCTACCAAAAGAAAATTTCGATTTTACAAAACACATATGCTTTGCTAATATATAATTGATTTTACAAAAGAATATATATTTTTAAGGATGACGTAGGTGTTAGAGATTGTTTACATTCTTAACAACCTTTATAATTTTCTATATTTATAATTCTTTATACAATTTATATTAAAAATGCATAATAAATAATTATCATTGTACAATACAATTTTAGTAAAAAATATTGGGTTATCCGGAAAATTCATGCCGACTAAAATTTAAATTTTAGTATACATTTATTAAATTAAAATTTTCTGCATTTCAATTTTCCTTCAACATCGGCACGAACTTTCCGGACAACCCAATAATAAAGAAGGTAGTTCAACAGAAAAAAACATCTGCTAAAAAAAAATAAGAACAAAGAGGATAAACTGTGAGATATATACAATGAGATATTGATAGAAGGTGTATGAACCAAACCAAGTTTATGGAATCAAACATCAATACAATCCCTATTAAGGAAAGAGGTCTCTTATTTGTGAAAGAAGCGAGATTGGAAATATGTAAGAAATTGGAAGATAAATATTTTATGTGCTTACAATTTTTATATCACTTACAATAGTTACAATTTATTTAAATAAAAGTAGTTTTATTACTGAATTTTTAATATTATGAGTTATTTTATAAAGTTCTTCAAGATGTCTTATAACTTTTTATATATACTATTTAAATAAATATGTATTATATTGAACCAAAAATCTATGATGTTGAACTGAAGGTGATTTTTTTTTATCATTTTAGGTGTGCAAGACATTTCAATGAGCTTCTATAAAAAATTCCTTCAAAATATTTATTCATTAATCTATTATAGATAACTTTGAGAAAATATTAAAAAGCGCTGGAAAAACCTCTGTGATTGCTACATGAAAGCGAGAAAGAAAATGACTGCATACACACCAAGTGATTCAGCAATTTCAGATAAAAAAAGATGGTTTTCGTTTTTTTGATCAAATGCAATTTTTAAATGATTCCATAATTTCAGGGGCGTAAGTAGTATCCTATCAATAATAATGTATATTTTATATAACTTTTGAAATAATTATATCTTTAAAAACTGTACAGTTCTATAAGTAATGTTTCGAAAGAACCTGAATTGATGAATGATAACCTAGACACCGATCGCTTCACAATGCAAGAATCAAGAGATGATGAGAGCAGTTTTGTAGTTAGCCAAAATGTTCGAACAATACAAATGAATGTATTTTTGGAATAGGAAGAAGTATTTCGTACAAATAGTATCTCTTTGCATGAAAAACGTAAGTTTAAGTTAAAATAAGTAATAGTCGTAAGTTTGTTGTTCAAAATTTTGCGCTATCACTTTCCATTCTTGTATACTTGTAAATAAGTATATCTTTTAATGTTTTCCAAATTTCATTACAAGTTTCATGCACAATTTTAGAAATTGTATTTGAAGCAACTTTAGGTATATCCTATAAACTTCTATGCTATCACCATTGATTAAATATATCTAATACAAATTTCAAGCTGTGTTCGAAAGGGAATTAGTTCCCTTATATTACATTCTTTTTCAATTTTAGCCTCAATAGAGACAATTTATCAAAAATATCCATCTGCATTCTGAAATAATTAAAATGGAATATAACGATGGGTTCTTAACATTGTAACTAAATTATTACTGTCTCATTGAAGAAACCGTTGTGTCACAGTATAAATTCACAGTATAAATTCTAATCCATACACTTCTTTGAACTTTTTTCTTCAGTATTGTTTCATACAATATAAATAGTTTGGTCAACGTTGATCTCACATTATTCTTTCGATAAAGTAACATTGGAGTTCTTATAAAATTTCATTAAAATTTTAATAATAGTTTTTTATAACATCAACAATTTATTTTTAATTAATTTATTTTAAGTCCATTTTTAATCTGTGCTCCAAAATTCTAGACAGATCAATAATGACATACGTATAATTTTAGCCTGCTCTATGCACATGATACGGGAAAATGACTAAAAATGCATCATAGGATTCAAAAACAATTTTTGTAATAATATAATTTTAAATAAAATTTGTTCAATACTGTCGCAGTAATGTTTATTTCAATATTTGAAATAGTGTACTTACATAAAATTATTATTTTGATGTTTGGTGAAATAATAATTTTTTTAATTATGTATTTATTTCTCGGAACGCGTCATTTTCAGATCTTTCACAGCACAAAAGACATACGGGATAGAAAAATGCGGAAGAGCGCTAATTGATTATTCAAATTACATATCCTCTGTCCAGGATATCAATCATGAAATTTTTTTCCTAGGATGAAAAGTAAAAAATTTCTCCATTAACTTCAATGGTTAAAATTTTCACTTTTCACTTTTTATCTAGGGATAAAGAAAATCATTTCATGATTGATATCCTGCATGCTGATTCTCGTACCGTGTGATTTCATCCTTCCACAGCGCATCTTATGCGTGCATTAGCTCGGTTCTTTTTCCCCATGCGCATAGAGAAACGGATCCTATGTAGTTCAGGCACGGTTATAAACAGTCTAGAAAAAATTCTAATGGGCATATGAAATGAATATTATATTGCTACTTTTTAAGGAATCTTCAAGATTACAAAACTTATATACGATATATATTAATCCGGTAAAAAATTTTTCATATATAAATATAAAATATGTATCTACAAAAAAAAACAAACATACATAAAGATATATAAATAATCATAAATATATATACTTATATATAATGAAATGAAAATAATAACAATAATGAAAACATTAAAAAAATTAAAAGGCTAATTTTTCCATTATTTTTCTATTATTTTTCCATTATTTATTTTAAAAAAGAAATTTGAAGAAATATAAAAAAATTACTGATAATTTTTTATATGTAAAATTATAT